TAGGTACATAGTACTTAAAATATTTAACCAACATATTGAGAAATTAGTGTTTCTGTATTTATTTCCATTTCAGTATACTTCTGGGCTATTCTAGACAAAATAATATATACATAAATGGCAATATGAAGGTTAAATGTAGTATAATTAAGACTTAACATAATTTTATTAAAAATGCAGAGCAGTTGTTTAAAAAATAGTAATAGAATTTTACAAATAATTTTCCTATTTTGTATTCTAGTAAATCAGATAAAACTACTTGGACCCGTGCTAATAATTTGCACAGAAATTCTTCAGTATTCATTATGTTTAATCGATTAAGTTATATGACATTATCATTTAGTTCCTTTCTTGAAATTTTTCTGCGAAAGATTCGCCAGATTTCGTTGCATAGGTACAGAGAGGAAAAAACTTTTACTTCCAAATAATCATACATATATTCTTTAACAAAAACAAAAAAAGAGAAAAAAAGAAAGAAAGAGCCAATAGATATTTCATCTAACAGCAGTGCTGCCACTGTATGCAACAGTGCTGTCACTGTATGCAACAGTGCTGTCACTATATGCCAAAAATAAAATAATTAAACGGATCTGATAGAAATAAATAAGCTAATCAGTATTTAATTCTCCATATTTAATTGTTAAAAGATAAGCTGCTTTTATGCTCTGAAAAATAAATTTAAATTATTCAAAATAACGGTATTAAATGAACTGAAATGAACAAAAAAATTAATTAATTAATAAAAAAAAACCTTAAAGCTTTCAAATTATACATTATGCCCAAAGGCGCGATTGTTTATCGTTTTGTGTGCCGCTTTTATTTTTATTAAATATCATGTTCTTCGCACTTAAACCATAAAATTCAATTCAACAGCAATATCGCAAAGTAATTTTACAATGATCATATCTTTAGAATTTCCGATACACAGTTTCGCGCACTGGCGATAAAAATGTCTTTTTTTTTCGTACAGTGCTGCCATTGCTCGCTTTGAAATACGTTATTCAAAATTTTGCTTTGCTTACGTTATTCAAAATTTAATAGCTCTAGGTAGCGTTGTTTTATCCCAATGCGAGAAACAGGCAACATTTATGCAGATTATTCATTATACAATTTCTTTAAATATAACATAGGGCTCTAATATTTGGTGGCAACAATTTGTAAAATGGACCGACATTTATAGTGAACCAATGCAAAATGCCAAAACGAAATTAATAGCCCTTCTGGGCTAATACCTCTTGGGCTAATGAATTAATTATTTTAAAAAAATCTGAAATTTTTCAGATTGCATATTAGGTCCAAAGGAGCGTTTTCTTAACGTTTTGTGTGTTATCTTTATTTAATAAATGTCATGTTCTTCTCACTCATATACAGCATACAATTTCCGATACACAACCTCGCGCACTGGAATTTTTTTTTTTTTTTACTGTTGCCATTGCTTGTTTTGAAGTTGTTGAGTTTCTTGATCAAAAACCCATAAATGCTTTACAAAATATGAAATAGATAATTAAACAAATTCCAAATTTGGGATTCCAGATGCCCATATTTGGGTGGAGACGTACGTTATTCAAAATTTAATGGCTCTAGGTAGCGTTATTTTTAGCACAGTGAGAAAAACATACATACATACATTTATTCAGATTCTTCATTATTTAATTTCTTTAAATATAATACAGGGCGATAATATTTGGTGGCAACAATTTCAAAGGTGATTCAGACTTTTAAAGTTTTCGACGCAAAATATCAAAACGAAATTAATAGCCCTTCTGAGCTAACGCTCTTTCGGCTAATAAATATGTTAAAGGAAAACTTATATTTTATTCACAAAAAAAAAAAAAAAAAAAAAAAAAAAACTACAATACAAATTTCTCTTGAAATCATATTTTTCTTTTTTAAAATTTTACACGATTTTCAAATTTCAGTCTCCCACGCTCGAGCTCATAAAGAACGCGCGCATCCTTATAACAGTGCTCCTCGATTCCTGTTATAAATCTATTTCGAAATAAAGATCTATTCGTTAATCTATTCGTTAAATTCACGCAAAATATAAAGTGAATAAAAACAAAATTAAAAATTCGGGTGTCGAAATGTACATAAGGGTGTAAGTCTAACGTGTGTTCAAAATTTGGTGACTCTACGTAAAACGCAAAAGTGCAAAGAACTCACTCATCGGTTCTTAATTTTTTTAACAAAAGAAGTGAGATTAAGGGAAAGTAATCGTTTGTTCTTTCAGAAATATTCATAAAAATATTACTCTGACAAAAACACTAAGCAATAAATGATGAGGGATAGAAAATGAAATAAAAGGTGATCAATATTTTAAAGTGGCCACCCCTTTAAGAGTGCATAGTTTTGTGCATGGTTTGTTTGCAGTAATTTTCCGATTCCTGTATAGCTGCGTTATGTGTAAGACATTGATAAACCAGTTTAATGGGGAAGGGTGGAATTCAATTCTCCGGAAGTAGAAAATGGTTTGAGGAGTTTCTTGCGGAGAGTATGTTTTGAGCATTGTCATTTTATGTGTTGCGTTCTAACTTGTTTTGTAAGAATTTCCTACATAGCTTCATGTGATACTCTATTTTAGGTCAAAGATTTTGCACAGGTAAGGCAGGTGAGTTTCGTGAATATGTTTGAGAGAAAAGCAGGAGACATGAAAAACGAACAATGTCCTCGCTGGGACTCGAACCTGGACCTCTCGAATACGCGTCGAGTGTGCTACCATTACACCCCGAAGTCATGCAGAAAGGAGGAAGAAAGTACTTTATACAGTCTCCCTTTTAAAGTGCGACTATGGATTATGGGGACGCAATCGCCAAATCCTGGTGTTGAAGAATCATCACTCACCACCTTTTAGTTCGGGAGCCACTGTAGATACATTAGGTTATTTTAAAGGAAAAAAAAAAAATGAGAAACGCCCTCGCCGGGCCTCGTGGACCTCACGAATACGCGCCGAGTGTGCTACCGTTACACCACGAAATTATGCAGAAAGGAGGGCGAAAATACCTTCTTTTTGCACCTTGCGAGAAAACGGTGTCTAGTAAGCCATGTAAATGAGACGAATAATACATCCCTGTTTTTTGAAGCACTTGGAGACGCTGAGACCTAGCAAGATACTTTGTAGAAGCTCATTACCTTATTACAGAAACATGAACATCACTCTTTCATATAGCAAGGTTGCGTAGCATTACGTACAGTAGATGCTGGAACAGATCTTTGACGATTAGATATATATCCGAAGACAATTGCAATTTAGATTTTCAGGTATAGTCTACATTTTGTGAAGATGCTTAAAACATGATGATGACGTAAACAGCACACTGATTCCATAAACATGACAATCCTAAAACAGTTCAAAATTGTCATGTTATCTGGCCTATAGATAAACAAAAGCTTCTTGATGTTGCTAAAAGTATAGTGAAACATGTAGGAAAACACACTAAATTCCAGGAACGCCCTTTTTTGTCATATTCTATGGGCAAAAAGTGGATCCGATAAATAGATATATTTAACTGTTTCTATGAAAGGTCCATTTTGAAATTTAACTTCCTGTACTTTTAAGATAAAAACAATAGTACGGTAAACGAAATAAAGACAGGGCTTAATTTCTATGATCAGAAGTGCCGCAGCCCTATGGAAGACCGTCAGCAAAGAGGAGCAAAAGTAAATAAATAAATAAAATGACTTTTAAACTCATTAATAATTTTAAAATTAAATAGTTAATTATTATCAAATTAATTAATAGCTATTTAATTAAAGTTTATAAATTGTTATTTAATCAATAATTAGTATATAATTAATTATAATTTAATTGATGATTATTATATAATTAATTATTATTATTAAAATAATTTAAGATTGAAGTAATGAAATAATTAAAATTAAATAAAATGTAAAGAGATAAATTGAAATTTAATAAGCGATTTTTTAATATAATTTTATTGTTAAAATAAAATTTTCTACTGAAATTGTTATTCAGTTACATAAAAGAAGTGCCGCAGCCTTCTTATTCAGGGCTCAGGTGCGTTCCGGCTAGAATTATGATTTATTACAAAAACTAAGAAGCACCGGAGGCGAGATCCGGAGGGCTCCGGCCAATTTAAGCTCTGATCGTAGGGAGAAAAGTTTGTTTATCATCACAAAAATTATATATACTTAAAGTATAGCTGATGAAAATTTCAGGGTGAAACAGAATGAGGGTATGAGTGGGTGGAAACAAAAAATGAGGTGAATCTTGGTGAGATAGAACGTTTTCTTTGACCGCGGCTCTCTGCTGATATAATTATACCCATCAAGCAGATGTGTGTCAGGGGTAAAATGAGTCCTGAATCTGACTCCTAAGGATGAATGTAAAGTTGATGGTTACGCTTCCCCCCATTATTGGATACTGTGGGAAGACGATGACGTGCTTGAGCAGTTTATCTCAGTATTTCACTCTTATTGTACTCGCTGTCACTTATCGCACATTTAAGAGCACAAATTTTCCTTCTGCGAGGATGACTAACTGTAAGCATCGATAACAATACACTAGATACGATGGCATGGCGAGAAATTTACGCGTTCCTAAACAAACTCCCCCAAATTTATTGCCCTTCTTAAAGGGAAAGATTTCCGCATGTGAGTGAGGGGACTTTACTTGAACGTCTCATGTTCTCATGAGTTCGTATTTCTAGGGAAATAGAATAATGCAAAGTCTTCTTATTGTTAAATTAAAACGTTAAGAATTCTAATCATTTCCCCTTTAAATTGTGGTTCAATTTTACAAAAATAAGTACCGGAGCTCATCTTATTTAGGGCTCCGGTGCGCTCCGGCTAAAATTGTAATTTATCTTAAAAATTGAGAAGTACCGGAGCCGGGCTCCGGTGGGCTCCGGCACAATTTAAGCACTGAATAAAGAGAAAATAACTATGGTTTCTAGTTCAAACTTTTTAAATTGTAATTTTTCATTGTATAATCAAATTATTTCTTGTAATTAAAAAAAAGATAAAATTGTGTATTTTTGTTTCAGGTCTTATATTCTTTCGTACATTTCGTGAATACTGAGCTGCAACCGTGACTTTCCCTGTATCCAATCAATTAATAACAACAGGAAATAAATTTATTTACTTTCTTAATTAGGAACTGTGCAGGATTATAACTTTTACGGAAAATTTCAAGTCTCATTTCTGTTTTTTATCTTTTAGAATTCTCGAGAAAAATTCGCAAACCCTCGTGAATTAAAAAGAAATTATTTCTTCTTGTCTCAACAAATTATAATTTCTTAAACCTGATTGCGCTAGTGCAATACGATCTTTAGATAGTACCGGGAGAATATTGAACGTCTTGGAAAAAAATCAGAGATTATGATGTATTTCATGTAAGAAATTTTCAACGAAATTTAAGAATGTTTTTATGAAATTTATGGAATGAAATTACATCTAATATGACAACTACGAATAATTAAAAATTAGTTATTCGACATTCGACATATTCTTTTAGTTGTTTTAATTATACGACTATTAAATAGTTTTTAAAACATTTTTGGTTGCATTAGGTACACTTAAATCCTGTAATAACACTGATTATTGTTATTATTAAACACTGATTATCCTGTATCATATAAAACTATTCAGTTTTACTGTTGAAGTCTAGTTAAAAATTTCATATATACACCTGTTTCCATATTATGCAGGGTTTCCGTTAAATTTAAACACAATTTAAAAATCTACATAAAATCAGCTAATTTTCTGAACACAGAGCGATTTGCGTTTCGAGAATTACAATAGGATTGAAAAGTTTTTGTCATAAGGTACAATTTAGCTCAATTATTAGCGAGTGATGATACTGTTAATATCACACTATCAAAATAAAATGGAAAATTAAGATTATACAGCATTTATTTGCAGATCAGAATTAAACAATATTTACGCTAATATGAACAATACATATACAATAATACTACTAATAACATAACAATACGTCCTGAATTCGCAGTTGTATATTTTCTCTTAAAGGATCCATTTCTTAACAATTATGGTACATCTCCATCTATCTATGAAAATTTTTATATTTACGCTAATATGAACAATACATATATTTACGCTAATATGAACAATACTATACAATATACTACTACTAATAACATAACAATACGTCCTGAATTCGCAGTTGTATATTTTTCTCTTAAAGGATCCATTTCTTAACAATATGGTACATCTCCATCTATCTATGAAAATTTTTTATATTACGCTAATATGAACAATACATATATTTACGCTAATATGAACAATACATATACAATAATACTACTAATAACATAACAATACGTCCTGAATTCGCAGTTGTATATTTTCTCTTAAAGGATCCATTTCTTAACAATTATGGTACATCTCCATCTATCTATGAAAATTTTATATTTACGCTAATATGAACAATACATATTTACCTAATATGAACAATACATATACAATAATACTACTAATAACATAACAATACGTCCTGAATTCGCAGTTGTATATTTTCTCTTAAAGGATCCATTTCTTAACAATTATGGTACATCTCCATCTATCTATGAAAATTTTTATATTTACGCTAATATGACAATACATATATTTACGCTAATATGAACAATACATATATTTACGCTAATATGAACAATACATATACAATAATACTACTAATAACATAACAATACGTCCTGAATTCGCAGTTGTATATTTTCTCTTAAAGGATCCATTTCTTAACAATTATGGTACATCTCCATCTATCTATGAAAATTTTTATATTTACGCTAATATGAACAATACAATATTTACGCTAATATGAACAATACATATACAATAATACTACTAATAACATAACAATACGTCCTGAATTCGCAGTTGTATATTTTCTCTTAAAGGATCCATTTCTTAACAATTATGGTACATCTCCATCTATCTATGAAAATTTTTATATTTACGCTAATATGAACAATACATATATTTACGCTAATATGAACAATACATATACAATAATACTACTAATAACATAACAATACGTCCTGAATTCGCAGTTGTATATTTTCTCTTAAAGGATCCATTTCTTAACAATTATGGTACATCTCCATCTATCTATGAAAATTTTTATATTTACGCTAATATGAACAATACATATATTTACGCTAATATGAACAATACATATACAATAATACTACTAATAACATAACAATACGTCCTGAATTCGCAGTTGTATATTTTCTCTTAAAGGATCCATTTCTTAACAATTATGGTACATCTCCATCTATCTATGAAAATTTTTATATTTACGCTAATATGAACAATACATATATTTACGCTAATATGAACAATACATATACAAAAAATAATACTACTAATAACATAACAATACGTCCTGAATTCGCAGTTGTTGTATTTTCTCTTAAAGGATCCATTTCTTAACAATTATGGTACATCTCCATCTATCTATGAAAATTTTTATATTTACGCTAATATGAACAATACATATATTTACGCTAATATGAACAATACATATACAATAATACACTAATAACATACAATACGTCCTGAATTCGCAGTTGTATATTTTCTCTTAAGGATCCATTTCTTAACAATTATGGTACATCTCCATCTATCTATGAAAATTTTTATATTTACGCTAATATGAACAATACATATATTACATAATAAAATACTATATAATACTACTAATAACATAACAATACGTCCTGAATTCGCAGTTGTATATTTCTCTTAAAGGATCCATTCTTAACAATTATGGTACATCTCCATCTATCTATGAAAATTTTTATATTTACGCTAATATGAACAATACATATATTTACGTAATATGAACAATACATATACAATAATACTACTAATAACATAACAATAACGTCCTGAATTCGCAGTTGTATATTTTCTCTTAAAGGATCCATTTCTTAAACAATTATGGTACATCTCCATCATCTATGAAAATTTTTATATTTACGCTAATATGAAAATACATATATTTACGCTAATATGAACAATACATATACAATAATACTACTAATAACATAACAATACGTCCTGAATTCGCAGTTGTATATTTTCTCTTAAAGGATCCATTTTTTAACAATTATGGTACATCTCCATCTATCTATGAAAATTTTATATTACGCTAATATGAACAATACATATATTTACGCTAATATGAACAATACATATACAATAATACTACTAATAACATAACAATACGTCCTGAATTCGCAGTTGTAATATTTTCTCTTAAAGGATCCATTTCTTAACAATATGGTACATCTCCATCTATCTATGAAAATTTTTATATTTACGCTAATATGAACAATAATATATTTACGCTAATATGAACAATACATATACAATAATACTACTAATAACATAACAATACGTCCTGAATTCGCAGTTGTATATTTTCTATTAAAGGATCCATTTCTAACAATTATGGTTACATCTCCATTCTATCTATGAAAATTTTTATATTACGCTAATATGAACAATACATATATTTACGCTAATATGAACAATACATATACAATAATACTACTAATAACATAACAATACGTCCTGAATTTGCAGTTGTATATTTTCTCTTAAAGGATCCATTTCTTAACAATTATGGTACATCTCCATCTATCTATGAAAATTTTTATTCAAATATACATTCTGCGCAAAACAATCCACCTTTTGATAAGGCTTTAAATGCAAACTTCCCTCCGAAACGCCAGTTGGCTAATTTCCTATGATTTTTTAAAATATGTCCAAATTTATGAAACACCCTGCACGTCTTTTTGAATATTATGTACTATTACTGAAATTTAACATAGCGACGAAGTTTCGTTTTTGATGTAAATTATAAAGTACAGGTAGAAAAATTAGAAGAAAATTCTATAGCAGGAATGCATTACGTATGGTTATTGGAGAGGAATATGTGCAAAAGTGAACTGTTCTACATCTTCTGTAAAACAAACTTAACGCAAATAAAGGGAATTCTTTCATTCCGATTTAACACAATACGAAAGGAAGTTCTTCTTTCTGGGAATATATTTCCAAACAAAGCATAAATCGATAGACAGTTTGTGATTTTTTAAACTCTATATGATTAAATAAGGTTAACAGTCGTAAACCAATTATTATTAATTTTTCAAAGTAACTGAAAAATTAAAAAAAAGAAAGAAAGAAGAAAAGAAATTAACACGGTACAATTCAATATTTAGAATTTTCATTTATGCTTTTTTCGGGGGGTAAGCTGCTCATTTTGTTTGTTCTTTTAGTAAAAAATTCTAGTATCCACTTTTGGTAAACATTTCTAATATACATTTTTAGTAAAAAAAATAGAAGGTAATTTTTTTAATAAAACTGAATATTGAAATCTCGAAAATCTGCAAAAAAGATTCTCGAATTTTGAGTATTAATTAATTACTCATTCAGAAATTCCAGAATCTTGACAAAACGAAAGTTTTCATTTATAAAATTTTGAACTTGTAAACTTGATTTGAAAAACACAGAAAATGTTTATAGTTAATAAAATAAATCAACTTCTTAAAAAAAGATCTCTGATTTCAGGCAATCTTAAAAATTTAGGTCTTCTATTTTAATTCTCTTGTGCATACGCGTGCGTGATACCATTTACAAACAAACTAAGGAATAATCTCTTTAATAACAGAGTAAAAGACTTTTCGGCACAAGTGTTTTAACAATCGCTTTAAAGGAAATAACGACATCGGCTTTCGTTTAAAAGAATGTTACGCTTGAGAGCTTGACAGTCGGAAAAATATGAATGGAAAATAACAGACAGAAGGGTTTGTTCAATATAAGATAACACGCAATTATTTCTCGTATTATGATATTTTTCTTTCATTTCGACCTCTCATTAGCTGTAAAAGAGATGCTATAATAAGATTAATTTTGTAAACATCGATCAATATAATAAAAATCTGCAATTATATTAATACTTAGATAAAGAAAAATAAGTTTTTAAATGCTTATCCGCTTATTTTAGTTACAGTTAATAGAATTTTACTAATATTTTTCTCACGTTTTCTATTATAATACTATTTATTGGGAGGAAGAATACAATTAATATGGCAAATCCTCCCAAAGAAAAGAACCTCTAATTTTTTTTTGGCGTGTTACTCTTGGATAGTACTGTCATTCTGTCGCACAAACTCCGTATCACATTAACAAATTCATTTGTTCAGCAATTCATGTTCTTCGGAGCCGTTATGTCGTTGTTGAGTCATCTCTTGAATTCTAAAATAAATTATTTTTAGACTGTGGGGCGTCCATATTCAGATCTTCAAAAGCAGTACAGAAGCCTTTGGTACGTACTTACAATAAAAAGTACCAATATATTCTTCTTCTGCTAAAAGAT